TTCACCCCAGGAGGCAAGAAATCATAAAATAATCTGGATTCTTACTCTATGCATGGATCGAGAGCGTAAGAAAGAAATTTTATTGATGAAACTAGGTCACGTTTTTATATCTTCATTTTATATGTAATGCGTTATGTACAATACGCAGAATACAGGTAGAGCTTGCCCCGGACTGCTTAGCGTTCTCCATTGATACGGCACAAGGTAAATAGGGACAGTCTCCCGTGAACTGAACCATCTTTACAAAGGCAAAGATCCCATGGAAAGCCTCAACAGGCGTTTGGGGCAAGTGCCATTAGCAAGCACCAATGAAGGCCGGCACGGCACGAGGAGGAGGGTGGCCAGCACCACGCCCGGCCGCCTTTGTCTCCCCAGCGGCGATGTTTACACACCGCACCAGGTACTCATTTGAGGCCGAGTCGACCTAGGGGAGGAGGCCCAGGACCTGTTTAGATATTAAACATTGTTATTGGCCCTGAGCAGGAATCAACCTCGGGTCGCTGGGCTCATAGCGCCACGTGCTCACCACTGGACTACCGCACCACACCGTTCCTAGAAAGCTCACATACACACCACATCATATTCATTTATCACTGAAGAATATGAGCTACACTTACGTTAAAGATAAGACACTACTGTGATCAATTATACTTATACCAGACTCCTCGTCATCACTTTGTTCCTTCTGCCTGATCCCTAATCTATTCCAAGGTACACAAATGGCAGCCATGTTCTGCTCTCACAGTATTCCACTGTATGGCTTCAGGCCTATTATTATTATAATAATTTAAGTCGTTTGAACATTATGTTTGTAACCTGCATTGGCAAGGTGCAGCTGCACACAATACACAGTTCTGAACATGTGCGCACTTGTTTTAAGTGTTTTTAAATCGTGAGCAATTAATGTGCAAAGCACCCCGGGCAGGAGCTGTGCTGGTAATGAGCAGCAATTCGCATAACAATGATTGCGATGTAAAGAGGGGAGACAACATTTGACTATAAATGCTTGAATTTCTAGAGGGCTTAAGCCGGATTATAGAGTCAAAATATGAAACCACCATTCAGCTTTGCAAAGGGAATTTAAGGGAGAAAAAACAAAACCCGCTATCACCTTTGCGCACACAGAAATTGCGATCGAAATCGCGAATTCAAAAAGGTTTGGCTCCACGATTGAGTGGGTGCTCCGAGGCGGACGGAGAGGTTCGGCTGGCGTGGCCACGTGGGCAGACCCAGCAGAGCCAGAGCCAGCCAAGGCCTTGAGGTGGCACCACCTGGGGTTGCCACCTCATCCACAGACCCTGACATTCGTAATTTGATTTTTGGGTCGGATCGCCGTAAGTAAAATTTGTGTCGTAACCCTTCACCCCCTACTCGACACGGCCAATTAACCCTTTCTCATTCCGATGAGGCAAGTGCACGTCTTTAATTTTTCGTTTCGAACATTAATAAATAAGTCGCGTGAACAAACGTGCCTAACCTATTACTGCTCCGACACACCGGCAGTGTTGGAGAGAAATGAACAACATTGGCTAAACAAACCCGGACGATATTTTTCAGTCAGCCTAGGTCCTATCATCGAAACGGTGCTGTATACCGTAACGCAGTTCAACACAATACCACCGGCCAGATCTCGGTACATTTCGATCATATTCCTGGCACCCGAGCACAGGTGCCAATTCCCAGACTGCCTGGGTCTCTCCCAGACAGGTGACATCCCAAGCGCCGCCACTCAGAACGCACAAGTCAATGGATGGGTGGCACACCCAATCTATGCCTTCACTCACGAATAATACACATTCCTGCGGAGGGATCTGGTAGTAACGTTGGGTTGCTCGGTCAATGGCCTGCAGGGTCAACGGCGGCGTGGTGTATTCCGCAAATATGCCCGACTGTGAGGGCGGGCACAAGCCCACGTGAGTAGGTGAAACGTTGAGTTTTATAAGGGCACCACGGGGTGACCAGCCCCTCCCCCACCCAGCCCCACCCTCCCCACCCAGCCCCTCCCCACCCTCCCCTCCCCTCTCCACCCAGCCCCACCCCTCCCATTTTTGGATGCACGACGGACGGACACAATAATCCCCTGTGGGCGGGTGGAACCAGGTGGTTCCTACCAGTATTACTACTCTCCACTGATGTGTGACGTGGCTGGGAATCGAACCGCCATTGGTGGGGGTTACACGGCAGTGCCATAACCCCTGGGACAGTGCAACCCGTGCCCTCCCGCTGCCCCACCCCCCCAACTTCTACGCAAACAAACTTTGATTCACATTGGAGACTAAACTAAAACCAAACTAGTTATTGCATTTCACCGGGTAAGGAAGGACCACTGAGCGAAATCGTTATTTTTCAGAAACCACCTGGCCACGAATGATAGCTCAACGAAGCGGCTTATCATCGTGGAAATTTATAGCAGCCAAATACTCTTAAGGCATGTTTATAAATGTGGAAGAAAAACCCGGAGGACTTGGAAAAAAATCCACACGACCACGGGAAGAGAGACATGCAAACTCCAAATATACAGCCGTTAGGGTCGCGATCGAACCCATGACATCCTCTGCAAACCAGGCGACTGTGTTAACATCTCGCCACCGCTGCGCCCGTATTTCGAGATGAAATATGTCTCGATGTAAATTGCAGGCACTTATTGCTGATGTACTTTCCTGTTGGCCACTGCATTTTTTTTTTACAACACAAACCTGCCACGCTTGCATGTGGGCAAACGCATGACGTGTCAGCTATTTCTACGAGGGTGAACAGGAAACAAGCTAAATACATTTTTAAGACTGAAATTATCGCAATGCGTTTTTTGAATTCAAATGACTCCTTTACGGTGGCGGTCTACATTATTTTTTCGTTAGAAATTTGCAACAGAACTGCCTGTACCAAGAAAATATGACACACACTAGATCAAGATAAATACCCCCCTTATAGACTTTAAACAGTGCTGTTAGCAAGCAACTATCAAGGCTAGCACGGCACATGAGGTGGTGGGTGGCGAACACCACACCTGACCACTTCTGTCTCCCCAATGCTGATATTTATACAGAACACCAGGTGTTCATTTAAGGCTGAATCGACCTAGGGGAGGCCCTGGACCAGTTCAAATCTTCGCTCCTGTTGGTGGTGAGCGGGAATTGAACTCGGGTTACCGGGTAAATAGCAGTGTGCTAACCAATGCACTACCATCCCCCACACAATGTATAGAAACACACTCACAAAAATCACGCTGCTAATGTGTAATTGCTACTCTAAACACATTTGATAAATTTAAATCAATTATCACGGAGGCCACTGACATTCGTTCCACTGCCGAGACAATGCCCCTCCGCTGGCTTTTCCGCCCATCATTTATGACGCCCAATTGGTGCTCGTCATACAGCACCCTCGGTCACGACTGAAGACAAAAGGGGTAAAGTGTCGACGCCATGCGGCGGTGGCGGCGGGGGGGGGGGGGGGAGGGCCCGTTGGGAAACGGCAAATTTGCAGGCGCGTTGAACCCGGTCGATTTCTCGTCACAAAAAAAGAACCCCTCCCCCCGCTCCTCAACGCCTGAGCTTGAGACAGCCACGCAATTTCCATGAACGTAGCAGCATGTCTAGCCCTCTCGACGACTCCTGATGTCCCTGGGCTTGCAAAATGTGGACGGGGCCAGTGAATTGCATGGGCACGAATCAATCGAGTGGAGTGATGAGGACGGTGAAAACGCAGCAGGAGGGGGCATTTATTTGCACGGACAAGTGGGGAAGCAACGGCCTCCACCAGAACACCGGCTTTCTCCTTCGTGTCGGCGCATGCGAGTGTGCGCTTACGGGATTTGATCGCAGCCGCGAGTTCCTAGAGCTCGGGATGACGTGAGCCATGCAACGTGCAGAGACAGGATCACGCAGAATCAGAGAGAGGATCACGTAGAATCAGAGAGAGAATCGCGCAGAATCAGAGAGAGGATCACGCAGAATCAGAGAGAGGATCACGAAGAATCAGAGAGAGAGAATCACGCAGAACCAGAGAGAGGATCACGCAGAATCAGAGAGAGAGAATCACGCAGAATCAGAGAGAGAATCACGCAGAACCAGAGAAAGAATCACGCAGAATCAGAGAGAGGATCACGCAGAATCAGAGAGAGAATCACGAAGAACCAGAGAGAGAGAATCACGCAGAATCAGAGAGAGAATCACGCAGAACCAGAGAAAGAATCACGCAGAATCAAAGAGAGGATCACGCAAAATCAGAGAGAGAATCACCAAGAACCAGAGAGAGAGAATCACGCAGAATCAGAGAGAGAATCACGCAGAACCAGAGAGAGAATCACGTAGAACCAGAGAGAGAGAATCACGCAGAATCAGAGAGAGAATCACGCAGAACCAGAGAGAGAATCACGCAGAACCAGAGAGAGGATCACGCAGAACCAGAGAGAGGATCACGCAGAACCAGAGAGAGGATCACGCAGAACCAGAGAGAGGATCACGCAGAACCAGAGAGAGAAAATCACGCAGAATCAGAGAGAGAGGATCACGCAGAATCATAGAGAGGATCACGAAGAATCAGAGAGAGAATCACGCAGAAACAGAGAGAGAGAATCACGCAGAACCAGAGAGAGAGAATCACGCAGAACCAGAGAGAGAATCACGCAGAACCAGAGAGAGAGGATCACGCAGAATCAGAGAGAGAATCACGCAGAACCAGAGAGAGAATCACGCAGAACCAGAGAGAGAGAATCACGCAGAACCAGAGAGAGAGAATCACGCAGAACCAGAGAGAGAATCACGCAGAACCAGAGAGAGAGGATCACGCAGAATCAGAGAGAGAATCACGCAGAACCAGAGAGAGAATCACGCAGAACCAGAGAGAGAGAATCACGCAGAACCAGAGAGAGAGGATCACGCAGAACCAGAGAGAGAATCACGCAGAACCAGAGAGAGAGAATCACGCAGAACCAGAGAGAGAATCACGCAGAATCAGGAGGAGGATGATCCGAGTCGGAGGGTGCCGGCCGAGCTCACCGAGCGGGGGCAGCTCGTACTCCACCTCGAGCACAACGCGCTCGCCCACGTTCTTCAGGAGGCTGATGATCTCGTCGTGCCTCAGCCGCGTCAGGTTGATGCCGTTCACCGTGCGTATGCAGTCCCCCACGTTAAGCTGGTCGCTCCTGCGAAGGGCATCGCCGGGTCAATGGCGCGGCCGTCGAGCGGGCGGGCGGGCGGTTGCAACCCGAGCCCGCACCGGGCCACGCGAGCGGGAGGCAGGGGGTGGTTGGCAGGGTGCCCTGGCTGGCAGGACCAGGTTTAGGCAACGGAAGCAACGGAGGCGCGTGCCCAGTCAGGCAGATTGTCGAGACTCGGGAAGGGGCGGCAATGTCAAGGCGAAGTCAGGTTCAGAGTCATCGGAATCAAGAACGTCGATTTGTACAGGAGGAATCCAATGAGCTGTGAAGATCTTTTTCACAGCTGTACAGTAGGTCTGATCCAGAGGTCGCAAACGGGTTTTGATTTCTTACCCGTACCCGGCCGCACCAGGGTCGCAAACAGGTACCCGTACCCGGCCGTACCCGTACCCTACCAGTACCCAGACGGGTACGGGTAGGGTACGGGTATCGGGTACCTGATTGCGACCTCTGGGATGAAGCCATGTTGCAGGCACGGGTGGGTTGATTCTAGGAACTTGAATTGTGAGAAGAGACAAGACGTTGGGAAATGAGTGACAAACGGTGACTCACCAGTGACTCGCGGCCTACCCGTACCCGTACCTGGCCGCACCAGGGTCGCAAACGGGTACCCGTACCCGGCCGGGTATGGGTAGCCGGGTATCGGGTAGGGTATGGGTATCGGGTACCCGGTTGCGACCTCTGGTCTGATCAAATAAGCCCCATGACCAACACGGCATAGGGGAGACCTTCATTCAGCGGTGGACTGACAACACGCTATAAATTATTATTAATGTTTACATTACGCTTGAAATGATTTATACCCCCATTCACTCCTACCCTTCCCACCTTCAGACATTAAGTTTTATTTTAATGTTGTGGTGCTCATTATTTCTTATTCCCACGCGTGGCTACATGGGACAAATAAAATAATTACACACAACGCATATGAATCCAAAGGAATGCATTAGCATGCGTAGAATTGGACGGATGACTTGTAAGGGATCTATTTGAATTTACTTGTCATTCATATTCAATCGTGTGATTGTTACAAGATTGGATGTGAATGTGAGAGGGCATTGTGGATATGCAGTCTATGAGAGCCTTGCAGTCAGAGGTGGCTGGGTGGACCAGAGTTCAAAAAGCTGAGCCAGCACTCCTGAAATCCTGGTCAGCCACCTGTGATTAAACCAAATTCCTAAGTGTGTTGAGTTAATGGTTTCAGCCCAGTCACTAATTTTTGCAAAGAAAACCCATCATGAAAAAAAAACCTGGTTTTACACTTGATTTGGCTCCGAAGATGTATAAACTAATATTGGTTTGATGTTTCACAAATCCCATCAAACACCTCTTCCACGGGCCACTCTCTGAAGCATGGGGGCCACCGCTCCGCGAGATTCGTTACTGCACACCGACACGATGCGAGTTGGGGGAAGGAGGGAAAAAAAAAATATTTGAAAAAAGATTTCATCCCACGGAGGGGCGAGTCGGCCTCACCGTGCCGCGATGCCTCCTGGCCGGAGGTTGGAGACGCGGGGCCGCCCCTCCTTGTCCGTGCCGCCCGTCACCGTGAGCCCCAGCGTGCTGCCCTCCTTCTTCATGAGCTCCACCGTGGTGCTGCCCCGCAGCTCCTCTGCCAGGAGGCACCGCGTGAAGCCATCGCGGTAAGTGAGCGAGCATCGTAATCACCATGACGACCGCTGCCGTCAAGATCATTATCGCTGTCGTCACCGCCGCTCGTTTCGTCACTCGGACAAACAGTCTCTCTCGAAAACGCGAACCAACAATGGGGTCTATTGCTAGAGTAATTTGCGCGACTAAACACAGATAATGGGATAGACCCCGAGTGCCCCCGTACCACACCGGATAAGAGGAGTTTTACTGCAATCACACAAATCATCATCAGCCATGGGCTAACCACTGCTGGATGAAGCCTCCCCTCCACTGCCCAAGCTGTCGCCATCACTCACGGTCTCGTGATGCAATAAGCAATCTGCCATATGCGCAGAGTCTAATTTAATTTCTCTGTCTTGTAGTGGTGGATGACCTCTCTCTGGGCTGCCATTTCGTCGTTAGTCTTGACCACCGGCCATCAGCTCTTCCACTGACACGTCCAGCTCAAGCACACTTGGCTTTTAATAAAATTATGTCTCTCGCTTGCGTACATTTACTCATCCATGTGTTTCTATTGCAGTCTTTCTGGAATATGAATATATTTAAGAATGTATAGTTTTTTTTAAGTGAACAGAAGTTTAACCGAGAAAATCAAGGAGACTCATAATAGCGACAGGGGACTTAGTGCCGAAATCATTATTTCAGAGACAGATGTAAAAGCCCTTTCCTAAACAAGTTACTCAAGTGCACAACCAAATTACGCCAGGTGCAAAAACGAAAATGAAATGTCTTAAACTTAATTTGTTGCACCAGTGAAGCTCAAAGAAACGTGCGTAGCAACACTAACTCAATCAGTGCCTTCTGGTAAACATGCCAAGCCATGGAGCCGCTGCAATGCTGGCCTGTGATCAGCACACGGGTGACGAATTGCCATCCACTCCCTTGTAACAACAAAAGTATCCTGTGGCTCAACAGGCAGTTTTTTTTCTAGAATTGAGATCACACCAATGATTTGAAAATGCCAATTATTTATCCAGAGTGTGGTGGAACGAAATACAAGTTTATTGGATGTTACGAGAGAAGAGGAACAGAATAGAAGTACATGATGGAAGGAAATTTGATCAGTAAATCCCATACAATAATGTGAATGTTTAACTTCTGTCGCACCGTACGTAGCCAACCGTGCGAATCGGAGGTGCGGGATAATCCGTGCGCTTTGGCTTGGAAGAAAAATATTTACCCAGGGAAAGCCCCACCGAGTCTCGAAACTATTTATCTGGAGGATCCTGCATTAGGACGTTCGGCCAAAAGTAACAATGAGTGTTTGGCTTCATGTGGGAGAAAACGGTAGAACCGAGAGCAGTGTTGTTCATTGCAAGGCCCGCGGGCACACTGGCGGCCCCTGTTGGTCTTTAGTGCGGCCCCTGATGTGCGGCCTCCCGACAAAACACAAAAGTCAAAACACTCCCTATCATCATCGTCGTTGAGCCGTCAAACTCCGGGGTTTCAAATGTCGTGGTGGCCCTCACACTGATGATGTCTTATTGGCGAAAGTGGCCCCCCCGCTCAAAACTAGTGAAGGACACTGACCTCGAGGCAACCCAGCATGCATATGAAGGGGGCGACACTCACCACTGCCATCTCCTGGCCACCTCGCAGCGCCATGCCTACAACACCTCACAAGCCATGGCGGTCACCCTATTTAAATGCTAACCGGGATCAAGCCCACTCAATTTCCAAAATATGATTAGATCGGGAACATTTTGGGCGATTTCGTCTTCAGCACGCGGTGCGTCGGTCTCACGAAAGACAAACAGTTCCACGCAGGAGTATGCAGACTGCATCTGACCGGAGTAGGGGCATCACTTCATAAATTCCATTTAGATCAAGTGGACCGATCTGCTGTACATGCAAAGCCTTTAGACAAATAACCGTACGCGCTGCTCGAGTTCAATCGCCTTCACCGGGCCCCTCCTGCAGTGCCGGCGGATTTATAAAAATACAGATAACTGGCTGATCTGCTCGCTCATGGGAGTGTAATGGTGCTTATCTAAAGGCTTCCCTTGCAGCCTAATGGAAATATTGCGAGCAGCACTTGTAGATTTTGTTCTACCGCTATTGCTTCGCTTGCTTTGCTTCTCTTCTCGCGGTCATACTCCGATAAGTGCTCCTCGCTGTTCAAGGTCAGCCCACATGACTGGCTTTTTGTTCCCCTCCGATTCATGAAAAAAAACAGCCCTACAGTAGCTGTTGAGAAAGACAGTGGACACGTTGATTGAAGCGAGGGGGGTGGTGTGGTGGGCCTTCCCTTTACTCCCCCTATAGCCTAGAACTCCCTTCCCACAGCCGTTGGTGCTCCAGACTGAAGAGACTCATTTTTTAAAATCCTTTATATTAAGTTCGCGTGCTTGCTTGCTTGCTTGCGTGCTTGCTTGCTTGCGTGCTTGCTTGCTTGCTTAGGACCGTGCAAATCTTTCGGTCGTTTTTTAACCCACTTCCCGTGATCCAATCGAGCTGACATTTTCCACACAGACTCGTTGTGCCAGACAATTATTGTTTGTGAAAAAAAATTCCCAAAATTTTACACTTTTTAGGCAAAAAAAATTATTTTACATATATTCAAATAGAACGCATTCATGGCTTTGGCTGAACGTCAGAGTGTAAGAGCCCAGAGCGTAACCCCTCCACAGGCTGTGGCGGAGTAGCGCAGTTGGTAGCGCCCTCGCTTCCCATGCCAAAGGTCGTGGGATCGATCCCCACGTCCTCCACAGGCGAATATATTTTTAAATCCTTTATCTTAAGTTCGCTTGCTTGCTTAGGACCGTGCAAATATTTCGCTCGTTTTTTAACCCACTTCCCGTGATCCAATCGAGCTGACATTTTCCACACAGACTCGTTGTGTGTGACAATTAATTTTCGTGAAATTTGTTTTCCAAAATTTTACACTGTTTAGGGAAAACAAATTAAATATTTAATTACCAATTGCTTAATACTGGCAGACAATCATCTGACCCATAGATTGCAGCCACCTCAAGCCAGAGGACGAGAGAACTCTAGCCGCCACGCATACAAAGGATTTAGAGTGAAAAACTTTGTTTTTACGGGTTTACTTGTTCCCCTGCCTAGAAGCTGGTCTTGCTCTTTCATACTGGTAGGAACCCACTGGTTACACCAGCCCACAGGGGATTATTGTGTCCGTCCGTCGTGCAGGGAGGGGCTGGGTGGAAAGGGAGCGGCTGGGTGGGAGGGAGGGGCTGGGTGGGGAGGGTGGGGCTGGGTGGGGAGTGGAGGGTGGGGAGGGGCTGGGTGGGGAGGGTGGGGAGGGGCTGGGTGGGTGGGGAGGGAGGGGCTGGGTGGGGAGGGTGAGGCTGGGTGGGGAGGGTGAGGCTGGGTGGGGGGGGTGGGAGGGGTGGGGCTGGGTGGGGAGGGGCTGGTCACCCGGTGGTGCCCTTATAAAACTCAACGTTTAACCTACTCACGCCGGCTTGTGCCCGCCCTCACAGTCCGCCATATTTGCGGAATGCACCACGCCGCCGTTGACCCTGGCCATTGACCGAGCAACCCAACGTTCCTACCAGCTCCCTCCGCAGGAATGTGTTATAAACTCTGTCCACACTGTGTCCGTCTGCACCGTCTTGAGATGAAGTTGCTTTTAGATGCTCCGTAAATCCAAATAACGTACAGTGCTGCGATTGATAGAGAGCTACGAGGCCCGAGACATTTTCGATGAAATTATTTCAGGGAGCAGGGCCCATTCCTGTGTCAGAACAGCCCGAGAAGATGACATCACGTGCCTCACTTCTGAATTCACTTTAATTGAGGCTCGAGGTGCCACTGAAGAAAATCTATTTACCATTCAGCCAAATACCAGATCTGGGTATTCTGTGAACAACAACTACTTGTGTTGGATTCCCAGCCATTGGCGAGTGTCAGTGGCAAAGGGTGTTTGAACTTGTCCTGGGACTCCCCTAGGTTGACTCGGCCTTAAATGAGTGCCTCGTGCGGAGCAAAAACATCAGCGACTGGGGAGACAAATGCGGCCAGGCGAGGTGATGGCCACGTCAACAACAGCCTGCTGAAAGCTATACGGGAGACCTTTGCCGATGTATAGTGGGGAGCAGTCGTAGAGCAATACGACAAAACCGAGTTTGATTCCCGGCCATGACTAACACCACTGTCAACCTTGCGTCTGAACTTGTTGTGCACCTCCCCATAGGTAGACTCAGCCTCAAATGAGTAACTTGTATCGGAGAGACAGAGGCAGCTGGGCATGGTGGGTGTCTACGCGACTCCCTCGCACGCCGTGCGCCACGCACGAGGAGTCGTGAGTTCGTCACCAGCGGCACTGTGTCACGACGGTTTCGTGAGGCTGCACGGGGGACCGTTGGCTTCGTCTGGCAGCCTCACCTGGGATGCTGTGGCGTCTGAGCGCAACCGTGCCATCCACGCGTGCCAGCCCGCTCGCACGTGCGTAGGGCCCATCGTCTGAGGACAAACACACACGGCGACAGCAGCGGTGCGATTAATTAACAAACGGGCAAAAGCAACGCACGGACGTCTGCCAGTCCACACGCATGTAAAATAGGCAAGTAAAGTGTTGGCTCGCTGGACAAAATGTTGTTTGGCGACATTTGTTTTTAAGCGAAAACAAGCTTTGTACTGGTTTTGAACTTATTGGTCTCAGGTTTAAACAAATACAGTAGTGGTGTGTTGTCAGATGTTACAGGCAAGAGCACTATGCAAAAACTGCGGGGTCTTGTTCAGTACAACAGCAAAACCACATAAAATAATCCAGAGAAAACAAGATACGATGAAGATTATGCACTGGTCCAAAGGCGTCTATAATTGACATTTATGTTTGTACTCTCGGCCACACAATGAAAAATAAAAATCCATTACAACTTTAGACATATACATGTGTGTGTGTGTGCGCACACAAGTCTGTGAGCATGAGCACTTGATAGACTGCCAGAGAATACATTGTGGCTTAAAGATAGTGACCACAAAAACACACACACACAAGGCATAATACACGCTATGAAGTAAATATGGACTAACTCGGTATGTGAATGAACTCAAGCTCCCAAGTCTGGTCTCCCAACCCAGGTGGTCTCAGTGGTAGACCACAAATAAAATGGCCAGTATGCACGACACTTCCTTCAAAGGTCAACGGTTGGAATCCACGTCAAAGCCAGCCTTAAGCCAGCCTTAAGCCAGCCGGTGTCGTGTTGTAAAAATATTAACAAACAGAGGATGGAGAGAGTCGGTCATCGTTCGGCTCCCCGGTGTCACTTGCATCACGTTCCCAAGGCTACCGGAGCGTATGCCCGGCCTGGCGCAATGACTGGGCAAGCGGGCTCGGCACCAACTCCCACGCCGGAGTTACCAAGGCCAAGGCAGCAAAGCTGGGCTGCGTAACTTGTGTTGTGTGCCGCACACCTTTAGCGAATCCACGCTCGGAATCAGTGACAGTAAAATGGAAATAATAAAATAATAAAAAATAAAACAGTATAAAATAGTTCATTATTTTATTTTATATATATTTTTATTTTATTTTATTATTTCCATTCTAGGTGACTTTACCGAAAGAACCAAGAAGATGAATCCCTGCAGTCACGAAAGCTTTAAATCGAAATCAGTCACAGTAAGTCAACCTCAATGCGCGCACTCCTTCCCACGTGTCCCATGATGGCGGAGTGTCACATTTCAACAGCTTACAACTTGCAATGCACTAATATGGAGCCGACTGGTAAACATGGCATCGCATGGTGGGGTGAAAAGAATGGCGTTTTAAAATTCTCTACTTGGTGCTTTGCAGACAATTTTTAAAGACAGTTGAGATGTTTACAAGATGCGCCTTTTGGCGTCATCTGGTCCAACCCATATGAGACTAGGCTCGAAGGAAAGCTGTCTCGGGTGTGGACCAATCAACTTCAGGGACAGTGCACATTATCAGAGTTATGTTCTTTTGTTTGTATTATGACTGCAGGTATTGCGGTCTATGCAAACATGACTCCTTGCAAAAAGGTGTCAGTTTTGTTGCCAGATAGAAGGGTAAAGAACCAATTATCATGTTTACAAGATTTACTGTGTGCGGAGCGGTGGCACTGCGGTTAGTGCATTTCCCAATGGAATTGGTTGCCGAAGTTTGATTCCTGACCACAGCAAACATCGATTGGTGAACGACATCTGAACCGTTCCCGGGCCCCACCACTTCACGTTTTTGTTCATGTTTTTGTTTTTTTGTTTGTTGCGGTTGCACCCGATTCCAGAGCCGAATGGCTCACAGGGCCATACCTGATAAATTAACTTGAACTTCACCAACCCGACCAACATGAAGTATGGCCAGAAAACAACACCCATAACGGCATGGAGAGGCCTTCATCCAGCAGCGGATCGACAATGGCTACCGATTACAAAAATATATTTCCATGTTCTTCATGCCACATTTCAGACGACGCGAGCGCAAACGTCAGACGTACGGCGAAGGTGCGAACGTAAAGAATTTAGCAACAGCAGCTGCTGCACCTCACCGTCAACAAACTCTTTTACTGTTCAGGAAGCTCACGCTGCGCTGAATGCAAACACTTCTGCAATGTCTGGAAACGGAAATGCATTTTATTAGAAACCTGTCGCTGTCCTCGAGCTATCCATTTGACTTTAATGATATTTATAGATTTTATTTTTGGGGTTTGAAATGAGTTTTTGTGTTTTGCCGTCGAGACAGTGAACAAAAATTGAACTGCGAAACAGTTCATAAAAGTCACCCCCCGCAGCTACATCTGATGCGTCAACAAGCCGCGCGGCGTTAAAACTACAAATATGTATAGATTTCTCGCGTTGCCGTTAAAATGCTGTTCAGTTTAAAAATGACCGGCGTACATTACTTATCGATTTACTTTTTTGTGTCAAGAGATTTAATTTAATTCAAAGGCTGACTGACCGTGCCACGGTGGGGTCGGCTTTGAATGGCACGCGCCGCTTGCCGTGAAAAGTGAGTGGCGCGCGAGTTTAACCGACGGAATTGATTGTTTGGGAGGGCCCTCACGACGTACATTTGAGACACACGAGCATGTCCGTCTGTGCGGTATCACATTCGCGCATTACCTGGCATTTCTCTCGTCAGACTGGTCCCTTATAGCGGCCAAGTCCTTTGAGTGCTCAAACCCTGACCCTGCCTCTCGTGGTCACGCAGCTGTATAAACGTGGATTGCTTAACAATAACAAGCGTGGAATATTTGTGTTTTATTCTTCTTATCCTCCTCTTCCATGTTATTTTAATCCGGTCTGTGATTGATAGCTAGAAGTCATGATCTTGCCTTAACCTCAGAGAAATTGCAGGAACATTTGACTTGATTTATAGGCCTCAACATTGTAAGTAAAATACTGCGGAGGGGAAAAAAAACTCCAATAGATTGAAGTAGATTTAATAGATATGTTTTATTTAGAGCCCTTTAACAAACCGCGGATGAATGAAGGCTTGTCCATGAGTTTCCATCATCAGGCCTGTTTGACCATACTTCACCATGTTGGTCAGTGACATTCGGTGGAAGTGGGGCTCCGAGACCTGTGCCAAGGCTGGGATTTGAACTCGCGTTGCCGGGTTCACAAGGCAGCACGCGCTATCCACCGAGCCACTCCTGCACACGTTAATGTGAACATGAAATTAACAATAAAGCAATGTAAGGTAAATGTATAAAAAGTGGCTATTACGCCACCCATTCTTAAAATAAAACGATCAAAACCGCATTCCATCATATTTTTAACTCGCATTTTTTTTACACACAGAATGGCTTGACGACGACACAAGAAGAGATTGGTGCCTGAAAGATGTTGCACTACTTGAACTTTATTGGCACTACAAGACAGAGGAGAGTGGAAACAAATGACAAAAATGTGCAGTGGACACCTAAGGGGCTATCTGCCCCATGGATCGTGGTGATGATGATGGATTTTTGTTTAGGCAAAAGCTACTCCTGCAATGGTGTCCACAGCTATTTACATCTGGTCTGACAGCTTCCCATAAAAAAAAAATGTGGAATGGGCTGCAGTTGTAACTCGTCACGTACGAACACAAGTAGACCATTGTTGGAGGGACACAACTGGAAAATGTTAACGACGATGCATAAAAATCGGGCAATTGTTAAAGGCAGGGCAGATTCGAGTGCTCCTGGAGATTTGAATCTGAAAATTGAAAAGAGAGACCACGAGAGATGGCAACAACGTGGGGAGGCCTTCATCCAGCAGCGGACAGATCAAGGCGAATAATGATGATGAAGGCAATGTTGATGACCAACAGTTGCTGTTGTCGATGATGATGAAATACAATTTCAGAAACTATATTGCAAAGTAAACAGAACGTTGCACTGCACGGGGCAAATATAGTGACATTTGTTTACGTGTGACAGATCACCCCTACGATCCACTGGGGCGTTTAAAAAACTAATAATACAAAAGCATTGTTTTGTAAAGGTCGATTACCTCCAGGCTGCTTCCATCACCAAGTCCACGTGGTTCTGCCTTCCTAAGTAAACATGAACCACTGCTGAGATAAGTTTGAGCAACCTCGAAAAAAGAAAATCGACCTCATTGCTTCTGGAATGCGTAACCCTCAAGTGTCCAGAGCGGAACTTTAAAATACGACCACTTGGCAGTAATTTTATTGATCGGCAAAGCATTTTATTTCGGTCTTCGGGTGGGGGGGGGGTAATATTTTATGATTTATATCTGTTCAATTCTGGTTTCAATTGGCACCGCCGCTGATCAATGAGGATATTTAGTGCTACATTTTACTCTACGAGGTCGCAATAATCGATGATGAAATATCGTTTGTAGTTTTATTACTTCGCCCCTGGCAATCAAATTAAAAGTACAAGATGTACACGGCATCTTAAAATCGGTCGTTGGCAATTGCCGTGAATGTACTACTGTGCTTACTTGTTATTTGTGGGTGGTTATTACTTGATTTCCCTCGCAGGTGTTGTTATTATTAGTTTGCACGGGCAATGCAATAAAGTTGAAAGATTTGACAAGGTCATAAAACTGATGTTGGTAATGCACATGCATATGCAGTACTAATTACATTCCTGCATTTCCCATAAATATGCTAAATTCCTGTTGATATGCAAATTCCTTTGTCAATGCGCCCAGCTTATATATATGCTCTAAGCCCGTGTGCTGTTTCATTCAGACTCTGTCGCCTCGACGGACCTGGTTTTCACCTGAGGACGGCTGCTTGCGTTGTGGCCGAAACGTCGTGAGAATTGTTTTATTATGTTTTATTTTTATTATTTTATTACTTCCCTTCTACGTGACTTTACCGAAAGAACCAAGAAGATGAATCCCTGCAGTCACGAAAGCTTTAAATCGAAATTTGATGTTGGTAAATTACGGAAAGTTTTTTTTTTTCATGGGATTATTACGTGTTATTGCATTCTCGTGTAGGCCCAGACTTCAATTAACCATTCCAAAGGGCAATTAATTGC